CCACCCAAATCTGCAGCTTATAAGGTTGCATCAGACCCCCTAGTGGCTACTGTGCATTGCTAATGACAGCTTCCAAACTGGCAAGCCAGAAAATCTGAGAAAGAAGAGATTTCTTTTTCATTGAACGAGAGCGCTCAGAAAAGCAAGCCAAAGCCACATTATTCTGCCTCTGAGTACAGTTGACATTTTACCATGCACGTACACATCAAACAGAATTGCAAAATGTCTCTTTATGAGATACTATGGCATTTTCTATTTCATTCATTATGTCATCCATTTTCACAGGACCAGCCCCAGACCAAATGGCACATGGCTTCAGCATCTCCTCCTGTTGATTTATTTTTTTTAAAAAAAATCTATGCTGCTTTTTTACCTACATAGGATCCCCAAGGAAGCCAACATCAAAATATTAAAACATTGAGCGGTGACTCAAGTGGTTAAGACGCTGAACTGCAGGCTGTGGAAGGTCAGTAGTTCAGCAGTTCAAGACCCGGGTGCAGCAAGACAGGATGAGCTCCTGTCTCTAGTTCCAGCTCCTGCCAAACTAGTAGTTTGAAAGCAAGAAATTGCAAGTAGATAAATAGGTACCACTTTGGTGGGAAGGTAACAGCGTTCCGTGCGCCTTGGTGTTTAGTCATGCCGGCCACATGACCACGGAAACATCTTCGGACAGCGCTGGCTCTTCGGCTTTGAAACGGAGATGAGCACCGCAACCCTAGAGTCGGATTCGACTGGCTTTCGAGCAAGGGAACCTTTACCTTTAACAGTAAAATATTTCAGGTGTTAAACAACATTTGAAATACAGTATATATAAAATATTAAAACAGTTCATCAAAAGCATAGAAACATGCAACACACATAACACAAACAGGGAGGAGGGGTCAAGAGCAGCTATCCATTCTGAATGCTCTATTTTGTATTGCATTCATAGCCCACTTCATGATGAGATGCACAGTTTGCATGTACAATTCATCCCTCCCATCTAACAGGATGTAAAATTTGTGTTGACCTGGGTTTCACATTTACTAATCTTATGATGCCTGACTATTTTTTAATGATATCAATAATATCTCAGTCATTCAAAGGCACACTGCTTGCTGAATGCCTGCCAGTGTTGTACGTTTTGCTGAAAATAAAAATGAAAGAACAGTAACCTAGTATTTGGCCATGCAAGAATGATGTTGCCAAATAAACTTGGTCCCATTTATTTCAACAGGATTTCAACAGTTGCATAGCTTGTTGCCCTCAAGCGTGGTGAAAGGTGCCCCTGACTCCAGCACTCCCTGTGCCTGGCACCCTGTGAGTGTGGGTATCTGCCTTTAATCCAGCTGTGAAAACACATGGCCCTCTACAGAGAAAAATAACACAAAAGTTGCCCCAAGAAGCTGTGGGGCCTCCTCCTTGAGGCTTTGAGGTGGGGCGATGTTCAGTTTCCTTGGAATAAAGCAAGGCAGGTGTGAGAAGCCTTTCTCCACTAACAATGAGAAATAGATCTCCCATTGTCTCTGGTGCTTGGCAGGAGCCAAGATGAATCATCTGCTGGAAATTAAGTACGGATATAGAATCACAGAATCATAGAGTTGGAAGGGGGCATACAGGCCATCTAGGATCAGCCTAGCATCCCTGACAAGTAGAGTTTTCCCTCGGATGACCGTGGCCCCGCCCCCAGTGTGCCCGGCGTCATAACGTCACTTCCTGGTGACACGCACGCAGGGGTGGGGTTTCCCCCGGGGCCCGATCCGCCGGCGGCAGGTAACGGGCCTCTGGGGCGGGGGTTTTCCTGCCCCCCCGGGGAGACTTGGGAAGCCTAGTCAACAGCCTGGCAGCTGCATGCTATACAACCTGAAGCTGGGGATTGGGATATGCTTGTGATGGTGAACCTTTTAGAGACCGAGTGCCCAAACTGCGACCCAAAACCCACTTATTTATCACAAAGTGCCAACACGGCAATTTAACCTGAATACTGAGATTTTACTTTAGAAAAAACAACTCATACTTTAACTTAAGATGATCCAAACAAAGTAAGGAAAGCAATCCCAAATGCTTTCATTTACTTTAAATTATTTGGCAGAGAATTCAACACTTTAATGATGGTCTGGGCCTGGCTGGGGCAATGGCACGCATGCCCACAGAGAGGGCTCTGAGTGCCACCCCTGGCACCCGTGCCAAAGGTTCGCCACCACTGGGATATGCTATGCCTCTACATTTCCATGCCTTTCTCTGCAATCTTCCCTGCCCTGGTATAAATGGTTGGTTTCTACACAAAGGTTCCTGGGGGACTCCTAATCCCCTGCGCTGTCTGTTAACTGTGTGCCCTGCTGGGTGCATGGGTAGAGGACTGCTAGTGAGTGTGTGATTTATGGGTTTTAATCTGGCCTCTTCCTCCTATGCTGCTACTGATTATGTTGTTGCTGCCTAAGAGATGAGCTATGCGTTCTTGCCAACATGTACCTATTGTCGTATTTCAGCCCATGGCTCCTATATGCCACACAGGTGCTTCTCCCTGCTGGGAATGTGCAGTTGTATGTTCCCTTCTCACTGCCTTACTGTATTTCCTTTGCTTAGCAAAGGCTGGAAACTCCTCAGTCCAGACTGCAGGGGGATGCTCCCTGAACTATGCTTGTGCCAGGGATCTTACTAGTTGTGGCACACTATACCCTACAGAGGAGAGGGGAGCTGTGTTCCTTATATTCCCCCCTCTCTGTTATTTGTGTAGGCCACAGTATTTATTTATTCATTTACTTCATTCATAGTCTGCCTTTTTGACTGAGATTCAATGCAATCAATAGGATGAGACTAGGGTCAACAACTCCGGGTTGGGAAATTCCTGGAGATTTGGGGAGGAGAGGGACCTCAGTGGAGCATAATGCCATAGAGTCCATAATGCCATAGAGTCCACTCTCTAAATGAGCCCTTTTCTGGAGATCAGTTTTAATTCTGGGATATCTGCAGACCCCACCTGGAGGTTGGCAACCTAGATGAGAATTCTAATAAGCAATGTAATAGGACTGGGATTATAGAAATCTGAAAGATAAGTGTAGGTTAGTATAAGGGGGCCTGGCCACATGAGGATGCACTGGTTAGCAGCTTCCATAGAATGCAGACAAGGGCCATCATTAGCATGCAGCCTGCGGTCTGCCAGGCACGTCCACAATCGGTGTGTTGCAGCAGGGTTGCTATGGTGATTGGTGCAATCGCTATGCTCTCTACACCTTGAAATTTTGGTATATATGTTTCTTCTCTTGAGCAACCATAAGCTAGCAGCACCAGCAGCTCACTAGCATCAGCCAGAGGTTAGAGTTTATTTCAGCCCACAGCTCCTATGTGCCACGCAGGTGCTTCTCCTTGTTCCACTTATAAACTGCCCTCCCCTGCAAAACAAGGCTCAGGGCAGTGTACGACAATTGTAAAAGTACATTCACGTCAATTAAAAACAGTTAAAACAGTAACAATAAGCAGGTAGACAGTATAACAATATCAGATGGCTCTAAAATGAAGTAATTTTTCTTTACCCTGGGGGGAGGGAGGTGAGAAAAAGGGGAGGGGCAGACAGGGTGGAAAACGGTTGTTGTCCTCAACCATAGGCTGACAATAAATCTGACAATAAGTAGGCCTGGCAGTGGCGGAACACCTCTACCTTACAGGCCCTGCGGAACTGCATTAGGTGTCATTAAGCAGATATCATTAGGTAGAGCATTCCACCAGGTTGGGGCCAGAGCCAAAAAAGCCCTGGCTCTGGTTGAGGACAGCCAGATGTCTTTCCAGCCAGGGATCACCAGCAGGTTTTTCTCTCCTGAGCATAATGCTCTTTGGGGGTATACCAGGAGAGGTGGTCCCAAAGATACGTTGGTCCCAGACCGTTTAGGGCCTTGAAGGTTAGTACCAAAACCTTGAACCTGATCCTGTTAAGACACACCTTATTGGCTATAAACTGCCACAGTCCACACTCCAAACAGCCACTTTCCCCAGGGGAACTGATCTCTGTAGCCTGAGGAGCAGTCCTGATTCAAGATCTCCAGGCCCTACCTGTAGGCTGGCAGCCCTAGCTCCAATGCTCCCCTTTGCTCATTGGTGATGTAGGTCACTCCCCCTACAATCCTAAACATACTTCCTAAACCCATCACCTTCCACTGATTTATAAATAAATTTAGACCCGTGCAACCCTGTCTAGGACTGCACTGTAGGAATTCCCTTCCGCAGGCCATTTAGTAAATCCCCACTGGCTCCCTACCATTAACATAAAATTATACATGGGATTACACGGCAGGTGTCCCATTGCAGCGGCGCTTAACCCAGGCCAGGTTACACCGATTTACAGCCTTACTTGGGGATGAACTTCACTGGACTGGGATTTACTTCAGAATGAACCTGCACATTATAGGGTTGCCAGTTCCAGGCTGAGAAACAGCTAGAGATGGGGGGGGGTGTTGTTTTCCGGTGAGAGGAGTAACTTCATTGGGGCATAATGCTACAGAGTCCACCTTCGAAAGTGGCCATTTTCTCCAGATGAACTGATTTCTGTCACCCGAAGGTCAGATATAATTCCAGGCGCTCCCCAACCACAACCTAATCCGATTTAAATCCTCTTCCCACAAAGGCCGCAAACTACCTGCCCTAACCCCCCTCCGCCTTATTGGTCAATGTCCCATTAGATCCTTCTCATTGGCTCTTCCATCTATCCATCCCAAGCGCCTCGCAAAATCCCGCCTCTTTCCTGTTATCGAACCCGCAATTTGCATCTACCCTCAGCCTCTTTGCTCCACCCCTTTTCTCCTTCGACGTCCTTTCGCTCTTCGAACTCTTGGCCAACACCGCCCTCTCCGCACTCGGGTCCGTCCCTATTGGGTAAGGCTCCCGGGCAGGGGCGCGTCTCCTCGCTCCCGATTGGGTAGACGAGCGGTGGGCTTTTCGTGCATCGTTGCGGTGGTGCGATCGGCCCACGGCGTGACGCGCGTGCCTCGGCGTGTCGCTATTGGTTGGGACGCGGATGGGCGGGGTGACTGGCGATGTGGCGCGCGGCGTGTCGGTTGGCGTCGGCTGCTGGGGCTGTCGGGGCAGGTGGGGACGGCGCGGCGGTGCGCACTCTTGCTCCTGCGATCTGCCAGGCGCGTCGTAGTCGGAGCTTTCGCCCTGCGGACGTCCCGTCGCCGCTTCCTTTTCTCGGCCTGAGGGGCGGGGCGGTGTGGCCTGGAAGCGGAGAACGGTAAGGACAGATAGGAGGGTCGGTCGCGGGTGGTGGCGCAAGAGGAGAGCCCTGCTGAGTCTCTGTCGTTCCCCCGCGGCTCGGCTGGTGATTCCGTTAATAGCGGGAAGGCAATCAGGTTTTCCCTGCAGTGTTCCCAGGGGTGCACTGCGTCTGTGCATGGAGGTTCCATTTAACTGCTACAGCTAAGAATAGGGATGCCGGCTCCAGGCTAGGAAATACCTGGAGATTTTTTTTGAGGGGGGGTGGAGCTTGAGAAGGGGCAAGGTTTGGAATGGGGAGAGAGACATTAGTGGGATATGATGTTATAGAGTCCACCTTCCAAAGTGGCTATTACCTGTAGAGGAGCTGATCTCTGTTGCCTGGAGATCAGCTGTAGTCCCAGGTCTCCCGCCACCCCCTGGAGGTTTGATACAGAATCACAGCGCTAAGGCTGTAGCACTGTGTAGAAAATACAGGTGGGCATGTAAAGTCCTAAACATAATTTAATACAAAGTTTGTAATATAAACAGCTAACATCTAGTAAAGTAAAGGTGAAGGTTCCCTTGCTCAAAAGCCAGTAAAGTCCGACTCTAGGGTTGCGGTGCTCATCTCCGTTTCCAAGCCGAAGAGCCAGCGCTGTCCGAAGACGTTTCCGTGGTCATGTGGCTGGCATGACTAAACACCAAGGCGCACGGAACGCTATAACCTTCCCACCGAAGTGGTCCCTATTTATCTACTTGCAATTTCTTGCTTTCGAACTGCTAGGTTGGCAGGAGCTGGAACTAGAGACGGGAGCTCACTCCGTAAAGGGGCACCCGGGTCTCGAACTGCTGAACTACTGACCTTCCACAGCCTGCAGTTCAGCGTCTTAATCGCTTGAGCCACCGCGTCTAATACATTCATTCATATTCAATATGGTCCACATAGGACTCCTTAAACAGCTTAAATACATTAGAATACTGCTAAACTCTCTTCCTGTACAGCCCTGCCTGAGAACTGGAGGGTATAGAGTCTAGAAATGCCCAGCCAGGACTTGAGAGGGTTGAGTTCAAGGTCCCACTTAACAGTCACTGGATTGGTTGTCTTTCAGCCTAACCTACCTCACAGGGAGTGTGTGAAGTCAAAACAGAGCAAGGGACGAATGACGTGTGCCACTCTGGCCTCTGGAGAGGGACAAGGATGTAAAATGTTTCCTTCCTTGTCTGTAAGATAAGACTGCCTTCTTTCTCCCCTCCGCCCTCATTACTAGTATGATATAGTCAGTGGTTAACAGCCCAATCCTGTGCACACTTAAGTAAGGCTCACTGAGTGCACTGGAATGTGGTGTTCCATAAGTGTGTTTGGGATTGTAGCCTTTCAGATCATTTCGCTGCCTAAAATGTCTATAAGCCCTCCTTGCCTTGGGAAGGGCCAGCTAAAACAAGTAAAGACTTATGTATGTGTGACATGGACTTAATTCTGAGGTTATGTGAGAATTCTGGATGAACATCAAAGAGGCGACGTACAAGCTTTAGTTATTGAGGGAGAGTCCTCAGGGTAGTTTATATAACTTCATAGCATTCCAGGTGCAAAACATAAGTACGTACTTGATATATATATTTAGCCTGCTTTACAGCATTCTGGCATGCAGTGAGTTGAACCCGGCCTAGTCCAGTATCTTATTTATTTTTATATTAAACAAAACTTATATCTTACCTTTATGTCCTCATAAGGGCACTTTAGTAGGCTAATGAATTAAAAACATACATAATAGAAACCACACATCTTAAGAGCCACTAAAACCAGGCAAGTCTCAGAAGCGTCAGGTCTCAGAAGCGAAGCAGGGTCATCTCTGGCAAGTACTAGGATGGGAGACCTTGAAATACCAGAAGTGGGGAGGTGGGGGCAGGCTTTATTTAGTATCCTCCAGGCCCCCAGTAGGGGTTGATCACCAGAGGTTGCCATGACTTCCAGGTGAACACTCACAAACATATTAAACAAGAACCACTAAACACACCATTAAAAACAGAGCTAAAATACACATACAAAAAGATGAAAATATAAAGCAACAATGAAAACATAATGTCATCTTGGTTCCTAAAAGTGGCTCCCAAAATGGTGTGCAGGAATTGTCATGACAACTGTTCAATACAGAGGGTCACCCAAAGGTTGTCTTCTGCCAGTGTTGTAGACTTATTGTAGTAAAAAGTTATTTACACTAGAGGAAGGCTACTAGAACAGAACCCATTCCAAATATGATTCTCAGAGGAGATAATCAGCTGATGTTGGTACAATCCAGTACAAGCTGTAATTGACAACACACCCCATATTTAATTTCTCTCTGGGAAAAGTAAATGTAACTGATGAACCTTTTAACAGGAATGATCTGTATTAATTTATATTTATACAATTATATTGTGTATATATATATATATTTGTGTTTATATAATTGTGTGGTTTTGGGGTTTTTTTTTCTAAGTGACCTTTTTTGTAATTAGTATTTCTCTTAGAAAGATCAGTATTGCAACCATGCCAGAAATAAACACAGATGACCTGGATAAGCAGCAAGTACAGCTGCTGGCAGAGATGTGTATCGTTATTGATGAAAATGACAACAGAATTGGAGCAGATACCAAGAAAAACTGCCATCTCAATGAAAACATTGAAAAAGGTATTTAAGCCCCAGTTGTGTTGAGCACTTGCCCTGTCTGATACAACAACTCGAGTGCTTCCAGGGGTTTGTGGTCCAGTTTTATAAGGTGAAAGGAGAGCTGGAGGATATGAAACCAGAAAGCAAGACTAATGTAAATGAGCCAACTGATCTTGTAAATCCATCTCCAAGACAGGCATGAATTGCTGATGGGGATCTTTTGGGTAGCGAAAGGAAAGTTGAAAAGCTGCTTGCGCTTGCAAACTGGCTTCCAGGTACTCACAGACTGTTTCTTTCTGCGTCATGCCATTCCATTTAGCTTTACCTTTGATTTGCAACTGCATTGCAAATATTGATAGGGATGTGTGTATACGTATATAAAATAAGTTAAGTCTCCCTTGTATAAACATGTAAGTAAGTACATTGTGTTTCTTTAAAAAAAAAACCCAGGGTTTTCAAGCAACTTGCAAAAGTTAACTCTGTAACAGCTGTTATTGAATGGCTGGCTGTTAAAATCTGGAAGATAATAGGTGGTGTCAAGCTATGACAGAGATACAAGCATGTATCAGTCAAGCTTTCTATCATGCTTTCACTTGTAATCATTTCTGATCAATCTGTTAAGTCACCCTTTTGGGTATACTTCTCTTATGGCCAGAATATGTTGACCTTGCTCTGATCTCAAGATTGGATGGCTTGAGTTGGAGTTCCACATTTAAATAACAACCTGTCTGAATGAAGATAAAAGGACAGGAGAATGTTGTGTGTGCCCAGCTTAATGGAAGTGGTTTGCTGGAGTACAGACCCTGTGAGAAACTGACATTTGTGCTCAGAGTAATATTTCCCCCAGTGATCAAGGAGGCACAAAACAGATTCAGAGCTCTCTTTTTGTTCCATTGTGGTGTTATATTTTGCTCCTCATTTTGAGTATGTACCTGTATTTAAGTTGACCCCAATGAAGCTCTCCAAAGGAAGTTGTAAGAGGGTCTCCAAGCAAATAGAAGAAGAAGAGATTGGATTTATACCCCGCCCTTCACTTGGGAGTCTCAGAGCACCTTACAGACTCCTTTCCCTTCCCCTCCCCACAACAGACACCCTGTGAGGTGGGTGGGGCTAAGAGAGCGCTGACACAAACTGCTCTTTTTCAAGGACAGCTGTGCCAGAGCTTGTGACTGACCCAAGGTCACATCAGCAGGGGCAAGTGGAGGAGTGGGGAATCAAACCCAGTTCTCCCAGATTAGTTTGCACACTCAACCACTACACCAAACTGACTAATAAGAGCTTGCTGTAATTCTTCTAAGCCAGAAATCACCTTAAAAGAAAAGCTCACAGTTGTGTTTAGAATACTAGCTGATGTTATATTATAGGAACAGAAGTTTTCTCCTTTGCCTAATATGCATTTAAAATTAAAATCTAATGTTAATTGAAAATAAGGTTTGAATTTGCCATTCTTTTTAAAGTACAACATTTAAAAAAATTACTTGTACATCTGTGTTACAGGACTGCTGCATCGTGCTTTCAGTGTTTTCTTGTTCAATTCAGAGAACAAACTGCTTTTGCAACAAAGATCAGATGCAAAAATCACTTTCCCTGGTGCGTGTTTTAATAATTATTTTATAATACAACCTTGATAATGAATTATTCTCAGAAGGGTTATCTCACATCGAGAAAAAAATGTGTTTGGCTTATGTTTTCTGTTAAGCAAACAAAATGATAAAGATGGCCAGCCTGTTTTCCACTAATGTTTTTGGTACTCTGGGTGGAATAAAAACTTGGTCTTGGAATCCAGTAGTGAAATCTGTACTAGAGGATTTAGTGTATACTGCATTTTTGAAACCTTAAAAGGACCTTTAAGGTACTGTCAGTTATGAGATACTGATCTGAGTCAGTGAATGTTTGAACTGGATTCGTTGCGAACAGCTTCTGAGGAAGTCCATTTACTCCTTTGCAAAATGTGAATGATGTTATGGGGTGGACTTACTTGTTTCCTTGTATCATCTGTGATTGTGCTAAGCAATATTAATCCACATGAATGCTTTGCAGATTGTTTTACCAACACCTGCTGCAGCCACCCCCTCAGCACACCATTGGAACTGGAAGAAAATAACACAATTGGTGTTCGACGAGCAGCACAAAGACGATTGCAAGCAGAGCTGGGGATTCCAATGGAACAGGTAAATAATGTTCCGCCTTCAAAATAATGACTTCTCTGGGGGGAAAGTAGCTGAACAGCATCTAGTTGTATTTGGAGCCCTAATTACTAGAGCTTGTTATTTATTTGGAAACTTGAAACTGCCCTATTCCCCAGGTTGGGCATATGGGACTATGTGTCTCTGTCACAATTCCAAGAAATGTGATGTTTTTCAATAGTCAAAATGGCCAACTCCCTGCAAATGCCTGACAGAATGAGGACAGTGCAGAAAAGAACCTGCCAGTATCCAAAACCAGCATTTTAGATTCTAATGTTAACGTCTTTACAATAAAAGTGATCAGAGAATTAATCAGGGCATTTATGTACATAGATGTAGTTAGTGGTAGCTTGCGTGATTTGCCCAACACATCAGACCAGAAAACCTGGTGTATTTAAAGCTTCAGAAAAAACACACCTTTGTACGTTTTTATTTAACTCCCTTTAATGTTGTAAGGGTAGGACACACACACACACACCTGGGCTGAAAAGGTATTGTAGATTTACTGTTACCAGCACTAAATTTAGAACTACCGAAGTATCTTTTGGCTGTCAGTCTTACACGAAGTTTTGGATTATAGGTAACTCCAGAAGAAATCTTCTACCTGACTCGAATTCACTACAAAGCTAGGTCCAATGGGATCTGGGGAGAACATGAAATAGATTATATCTTATTTGTGCAGAAGAATGTGACGTTGAATCCAGATCCGAATGAAATTAAAAGCTACTGTTACGTGACACAGAATGAACTGAAGGAACTCCTGGAAAAGGCGTCACGAAATGAAGTTAAGATTACTCCCTGGTTCAAACTGATTGCAGAGACTTTTCTTTTCAAGTGGTGGGATAATTTGAATCATCTGAAGAAATTTGTGGATCATGCTAAAATACACAGAATGTAAAATATGCACTAAACTAAAAGGGTGCATGTTTGAATGACTGTTCTTCAGCATACTGCAATGGCAATTTAATAGGAAGAATGAAGGGAATTTACTTGTATGTGGGATTGTTTGGATGACTTGTTGCTTGCCTTGTGCCTTTCACATAAACAATGTTTGTATTGCTAACAAACTAGGGAGTATGCTCCTGTCAGAAGTTGCCACTAGCACCTGAAATTTCAGTACTTAAACTGGCTACTTTTCCAGGTAGGTGAGGTGTATGCTGGTCAGAATCCAGAGAACCCATGAAACTCAGTTCCCTAATGCAGCTTTACCTGGGAAAGTGCTTTGGAAAATACCAACTTCTAGAGCAGCTTGAGATAGCAAAGAGAAGGGATCAGCTACTGCATGACAGTGCACAATCCCACAGGGTATATAGAAGCAGAGGGCAGGGAAATGAATGGGGGGGCCAGCTGTAGCTTCTAGCCCTAAAGGCTAGACTACCATCAGAGATGCTACGAAAGGCAATTAGGCCTCACCCACCCAAGACCTGGCATGTTTCAGTCACATATTTTGAGTGTGTTGGACAGCTGCAGCCTCAGGTGTAAAGCAGGGTTAGAGGCCCCAGCAGTACCTGTTCATTTGGAAATGCACCACTGCACTCAGCTAAATCAACTGTTTTTGCAGCTAGCAAAAAAAGCAGGTGGTGTCATTTCACAACAAGGAAGATCAAGTCAATGCTGCTAAGTACAAAATCTAAAAAGAATTCCTTTGTGTGAATTAAGAAAAATCAAAACTCTCATGAACTTCTTAGATTTTCAGGTAGACCTGGGTTGAAAGGCAATAGTGTAGTGCTTTACAGAATCTAAGAAAGTTGGGACTCTAGGAACAGTCCATTATTGTGTTTTTAATTACTGAAAGATCTTTTGAGTCATAAAAGTCTTAACTTATACTGCTTTAAACAAAAAATAAAATTGCAAATGGTAGAAATCTTTCTCAGTGGTTCAAAGTGTAGAAGTGTTGACTAGTTTGTAAAATAAGTATTTTGTACAAATTTATTTTCCCCCTCGAAAAATAAAAAGAACATGAGCAGAATTTGGAGAATTCATTTTGCATGCTGAAAGGTTTTTTGAACTTCTTATATAAAAGCCCCTTTACTACAAAAGCCACCCTTTTCTGAAGCCAGCAGAACTTTCAAAAGTCATTTGCAATGGGGGTCTTTTCCTTTTTTAAAAAAACCCTAAGAACTGGGGTAGGCTGGAGGTGATTCATTGTGAGGAATCTTACTTCCATAATGGATGGGAAAATGCTGATGCAGTCTGTTTTGAACAGGGGTTCAATATGCCAAATTTTTGCAGCTCACCCTCTCTCAGAAACTGCTTCATAGAGTTCCACACAAAAGTGGAGAGTATAAAATTAAGAGGTGCCCCTCAACTTTTATGAAATCTTACTAACTCTAAGTAAACTCACTTCAATGTCAATTCCCAAGACCAAAAATAGTACAAACTGGACTCAGACAATAGGCACTGGCTACCACCCTTAGGATTGATTTGTAAGTCCAGGCCAGAGTTACTAGAACAGGTAGGATTCGTGCTGGTGTTCAGTCACACAATTGAGTCTGACTCTTCGCAACCCCATGGACCACATCATGCCAGGCCCTCCTGACTTCCACTGTCCTCCAGAGTTTGCTTAATCTTATATTCGTTGCATCGATAACACTGTCTAACCATCTCATCCTTTGCCGTCCCCTTCTTCTTTGACTTTCAGTCTTTCCCAGCATCAGGGTCTTCTCCAGTGAGTGCTCACTTCTCATTTGGTGGCCAAAGTATTTGAGCTTCAGTATCTGTCCTTCCAGGGAACAGTCAGGGTTGATCTCCTTGCAATCCAAGGGACTCCAAGCACCTTGATCTCCTTGCAGTCCAAGCACCATAACTCGAAAGCATCTATTCTTTGGTGCTCGGCCTTCCTTATGGTCCAACTCTCACAGCCATACATTACTACTGGGAATACCATTGCTTTGACCATACGGACTTTTGTTGGCAGGCTGATGTCTCTACTTTTTATTATGCTGTCTAGGTTTGCCATCGCTTTCCTCCCAAGGAGCAGGCATCTTTTAATTTCATGGCTGCAGTCACCATCTTGGATCCCAGGAACATGAAGTCTGTCACTGCTTCCATGACTTCCCCTTCTATTTGCCAAGGAGTGATGGGTCTGGATGCCATCTTAGTTTTTTTGATGTTGAGTTTCAAGCCAAGTCTCCCTCTACCTGGTTTACCTCACAGCACCGTTGTGTGGATAGAAAGAAGAGGTATGTGGCCTGCTTTGGGGAGAAAGGTGGGGTGTATCTGAGATGGCTTCTGTGCGTGTACATGGTAGCACCCATAGTTGCCCACATCTGTCAGAAGCCCTGTCCCATTCTCATAGTTGTATATGTAGATAATTTGTAAGCCTCCTTTTAAACAAGACTGGGATGAGGTGCTGCTGTTGAGCCAGTGTGGACTGAGGCTGATTATTCACTGTCTGGCAGCATTACACCTATATTGTTTCTGACAGAGGAAAGGAAATGGTGATGTTTGTGTGTCGCAGAAGAAGAGATACAGATTTTTTAAATCTTTTGTCACAGAAAATTCAAGTTCTCTAAATCTGCAGTCATACACACTTGCCTGGGAACACAGGAATCCTGTCAAGTAGATTTCTGATTTAAATAAGCTTTGAAGGCATCTAATTTTTGTCCATGATCAAAAAGAATCTGGCCCAGTTTCCTTAAACTGAGTATAGTTGAAATTTTTACTTTCTGCATTACCTAAAGGTAATCTACACACAGCAGTACGCATAAGCCCTATCAGGGAGGGGCAAAATGAAGAATGCTGTATGAGGAGGGAGAAGAATCAACCTTTCACACTGAGATAAATCCTGCAATCTGAGGAAATGAGCACAATGCTACATTTCCTTTATGTCACTTATTCCGCTTCTACCACCTCAGTCCTCCCTTATTCACTATACACCTTCAAGCCTATTTTCAATTAGTTTTCCCCATGCAGTGTAAAAGAGGAGTTGCATACAAAACAGTCACCTCTGAGGCAGTGGTTTCTCCCAGTTCTTGCTGCCCAAATCCTTAAAACTTGAAATTAACAAGGACTGAACTTGAAGCCTTCTGCAGGCAACCCATGTGCCTCTACCATTGAGTTTCAGGCTTAGTACAACAAGTCTAACTGCTATCCCTTGTTAAAGCAATGTGATATGACTTCAATAATACTATTATCAAACAGCATCTACCATTGAGTTTCAGACTTAGTACAACGTCTGTCTGCTATCCCTTGTTAAAGCAATGTGATGTGACTTCAATAATACTATTATCAAACAGCAAATTGTAAGGCACCACCCTTTTACTAGAGCTGGCATCTCCCCTGTGACGTGGTTAGAAATGCAGTTAAATAAGTTTGCCAACCCTCAAAGCATTCCGTGCAGAGAGAATGTGGCATATCCTGGAAGTAAGCGGTTCCATGCCCTCAGGAGCATGAGATTACCTATCTGCGTTGTGTTGCTGACATTTCTCAACTTCACCAGAATTCAAAGAGTTCCACAAGAAGTTTTCTTAGATTTTTAATTTGTATTAGAAAAAAGATGGCCATTTCTTTTATCGTCCGCTATGAGCCACTTATCTTCTCTGTGTCGTGCCGGATTTCCTCTTGCCAGAAAACAGATGCTTGGGCTTAAGGTCAAACACATGCCTGTCCCCCTCGCCTTTCCTGCCCAGCCGATTCATTTTCCTCTGAGCTTTCTTCATCATGGTTTTGGTCTTCTTCACCATCTACACAAAGATATAAAGTCACGGAAGTGAAATCGCGTTTCTGTACTTAAACTTTCCTCCCACACTCATCCCAGAAAGTAACAAACCAGTTACTTTGTGCTCTAGAACAATGGCCTTATCAGATGTCACCCCCAGTGGATTTGATTAACTAAAGAATTCATTTCCAGAAACAAATGTGACTCTGGACAGACTAGAGAAGATTATGTCCTTGCAGAATCTCAACAACTCAATGCAGTTAAACTATACGGACAAAAGCTTTATGCAAGTCAGCATGTGAACTGCAGCTCCAGAGTCCATGCACCTTTCTCCTTTCTGTGGATTATCCCATTTCACTCGGGCCCTGTTGCTTTCGCTTCTTCATCCTATGTCTGCTGCCTTCTCTGCCCCTCTGATTTTGGGGAGACATCTGAGCCAATCACTATCAAAGGCTTCACCAACAGCTCTATTTGTGCATCTGTATCAAATTATAAGTGGATTCTGCTTCTCAAAGTAAAATGTCTCCCCGCCAAAGAAAGGAAAAGCAAATGCACTCTGAAAATATAGTATTACAAGAATGCTGAGACATTTAAAAATTGAGCTTTTTAAAGGTACTTCTTAGGACTGTTCAGGCCAAAGCCATAACTTTGGACAGCAAACAGTTTGTTACATGGACCCCAAATTTCCCATCCTTTGCCCCCAAATATAACAACAGCAGAGCTACATGAACACAGTTTAGTTCAAATTGCTTTCAAACAAGAGCCCAAAGCTTCTATTTAATTACAACAGCACAAAAATGTGTGTTTTATATTAAGACAAATTATTGAAAAGTGTCGACAATATTAATAAGCCAAAGCAAACCTTTGCGTCTCGAAGACCAGATACATCACGAGGGGTGCGCGAGGAGCTCCGACTGCGGGCGACAGATGTGGGTGGTTCCGACTCCTCTCGCTTACGTTTACGGGTAACGCTACGGGATCGTCTCGCCTGGGTCACGTAATGAGCCTGAAAAGTCACAAAGAGCACAGAACCTAGTGAAATTCAGTTGTAAGTCATGATGGTGGCCACAACCATCAGGGATGACTTTAAGAGGAAATCAGACAAATCCACAAATGACCTATCGCTACACGTATAAGCCAACTGGCATGACAAAAATCCCTCAAAAATGGCTGAAAACATTTCTGAAAACATTTCAGCAGCAATGAAAAGTGGAGAACAGCTGAGCGTCCATTAAATAAAAGGAGAAAGAAGAATTCAGTTGGCTCAAGCCCTTGAGAGTAGAGAATCCTGTGGGGGGGGGACACCCTTCAAAACTTCTCTCCCCTCACCCAGCTGTTCAGCACAGACCCCCAGCTTGACAACACCCGCATTTATTTAATTTGTCCTGCTTCAGTTGATGTTTTAATTGCTCTATTGTTTGTGGTTTTGTTACAGGTTGCAAACCGCCCTGAGCCCGCTTCCGGGGTAGGGCAGGATATAAATCACAAAAATGACAACACCCGCATTTATTTAATTTGTCCTGCTTCAGTTGATGTTTTAATTGCTCTATTGTTTGTGGTTTTGTTACAGGTTGCAAACCGCCCTGAGCCCGCTTCCGGGGTAGGGCAGGATATAAATCACAAAAATAAATAAATAAAATGGCAGCTACAGTGGCTCCAATGTTCCCTCTAAGCTGTGGAGTCTTGTGAGCAAAAATTCTACGCTGTGAGCAAGCGATTTGGCTACTGCATAAATTAGTTTGCTCTGGAGCCATCCTTCCTGAGCGAAGACAAGAATGTGTGAGCCGGAGGCTAAAAAACTGTGAGCTGGCTCACACTAACTCAGCTTAGAGGGAACACTGAGTGGCTCCATCAAACCTTCATGTGTATCTCTGATTACCACTTGCTAGGAGACAGGTGTGCCTTCACAACCCAGCTCGTGGGCTTCCCAGAAGAACTGTGGGATATGGGATGATGGACTTGGTGGACCTTTGCTGTGATTCAGCTAGCTGCTTGGCTCTGAAACCACTTCTTCTGCATTAGATGCTCAAGTGATCAGATGCTGCGCTAGGGCACGGCACTTTTTTTGTCAAAGGTTTGCAGCTAGTGATCCGCATGCACAATAATTATGGGTCCCTCCAGGTCCCCCTCCTTCCAGCAGTCCTTTCGGACCCAGGAAAAGTAGATTCCCAGGGTTGTGGGACCCATGTGGACTAATAAGCTCAGTGGGCTGGACTGTAGTACAGAGGAGGGAGGAAGACAAGCAAAACTTTCCTCTCTCATGCAACAGAACGACTCTGTTGACGGAGGAAACAGGAAGGACT